ACTTGCTTGCTGTGGTCGAAATGACTACCAAAACTCGTGACTAAAGATTGTGGGTGATTGGGATCAAAATAAATTATACAGACGCAAACGTATTCTCATCTTTTTATTTTAAATGTGTTGTCACATACTTTGTTTCTGTCCTTTTATTTCACAATATTTAACCACTTCTGATTACATTGTTAACATCACTTCTCTATTCGCATTCTTATTACCTTACATTTATATATATATATACATGAACCATCATACAATCATGGAACTCCTTGTATTAATAATGGTAGGATAATAGTAATATGACTCCATTCAAATACTGTATAGTCCAATATCCAGGACATATTTTAATTCTCTTGTCCCGCATTGTGCCATTTTTCTGTTTTATTATGTTAAGGACTATTTACAGTGTTTGTCTTTGAGTGATATTATGAAATGTGTCAGGTGGTTCTGCGATGATTAGTTGAGAATGCGAACCGTAATAAGTTTTCTCCATTTTGTGTAAGTCAATTCTTGTTTTTCCCGTTGATTAATTGAACGGAAATGTTTGGCTTCTGTCGACATGCGGCTCTGAATGTGGACTATCCGATGATGTCTGAGGATCAACAGTGATGTTATTTGCTGCCGAAGTGGCTTAGTGGTTAACACTGGCGTTTGAAACGACGGGGACTGGGTTTGATTCTCAGCAGAATGCGGTCGGTCGCTCGGTCGGTCGGTTTTCGACATAGAACTTTGCACATATGTGCGGCAGTTCAAGTCGCCACAATCTACGTAGCACGCAAAGCAAGAGAAGAAAGTAGAAGAAATGCATAATACAGACAGTAAACAGAGGTGTGAGACAAAGGAATAGTAATAACGGAGAACAAAAGTTTTATTGGAAATCATAAGTCACAAGGAGTGGATGCATCTGCGCCACTGAGAACGATTTTGAGCCATGTCACCAATTGTTTCCAACCATTGGTTTTTACCATCCCGAGGGCCCCAACCAGGAAGTCTACATCTTCCTACGTGGCTTAGATTAACTGTTGTGGATTTCATTGATTGGTGCCATGTTTTGGTTTGACCGCCGCTAGCTCTTTTCCAGCCTGACCCTATATCAGCTAACATTGCCCGTCGAGGAAGGCGACATGTCCTAACCTATTTTGATTTGACACTAGGAACTAGTGTTATGCGTCTAGTCCTCTCTTTGGTGAAGACTGAATTCTATCAGTCAGGTTGTAATGTGGCCACCATTCTAGGTAGCTCGCCATCACGGTGTACATAGTTTGTGATGATATTAGGTGATTGGAGGCAATCGGCAGGAAGCCTTGGACCTAGGTTTCGTGCTAGTTGGCACTCGTCAGCAAGGCGTATCTGCAACCTTGAAGGAACTCATGTCCCTTCTGAGATTCGAACCCGCGTCACCCAGTGCTGCAGTCAGAGACGTTACCACTGAGCTATTCGGGCTCGCGATTGACCTCCTGTAGGACTGTAGTAGATATTTTGATTTGACACTAGGAACTAGTGTTATGCGTCTAGTCCTCTCTTTGGTGAAGACTGAATTCTATCAGTCAGGTTGTAATGTGGCCACCATTCTAGGTAGCTCGCCACCGTAATGGCGAGTAGTGCAGTCCTTTCTCCTTTTCACTGATCCGTTCAGGCGGACAGCGCACATTCGGCTATCTACCGGGATCCAGTCAAGTAATGTCTTTTCTGCTCTAGTACTTAAAGCTATCCCAACACCAGCTTATCCTCGTGAGCTAGCCGTCGCATCTCCTGACACCCTCAAGGTGAATTTTGCAGATTCATCCTGTTGGCCAGGTGGGGTTAGGTGAACAACCACACTTGGGTCCTGTATGCGTGTTTCTGAAACACAACATACATCAATGGCTCGGGATGCCAGAGTCTTGGCTAGTGATGCTTGTTTTCCTATTTGGTAAAGTGTCCTAACATTAAATGCTCCTATATAAAATTGGTGGCGTGGTTTTAGGAGACAATCGGTGGTGGCTTTTTGGCTTCCCTCGTTATCAGTGCACACAGAGTGAAGGGGAAGTGAAGAGCCAACAAGTAGAGGAGTTGCATTGGTAGAAGGAAGGCAAGATAATAGAGATGAAGATGAAGACAAAGATGAGCGAGGATTAGAGGGGTTTCGCGTGCACTTCGGATTGTGAGGGCGATTGGTACTTCCCGGCTGCCCACACCGTGGAAGTTGGTTGCGTGACCGCAGAGCCCAGGGGACAACTGCTTGAGGCCGGTCACACACGGCCTATTTTTGTTTGTTCTTTTTTATTTGGTGTGTCTCAGTAGCGTATTTATCACTTCTGCCCTGTGACACGGCAGCAGAAAGCGCGGTCGTTGTTAATCCGGGCCCCGACCGATCCGGCATGATATTTTGTGATTTATTTGAAATCATAGGATTGGATTGGGTAACTGCTTTTAGTCTAACTGCTATCCAAACAACCTTTCTGGCATGGTAGGACCTGCAGGAACATAAGTTCCAGCCAGTATAGCTTGTTGGGTCATTGCAGTGTTCAAGCCCGACCACCACGTCAAGGTAGCAGCTTTCGGTCGGGTCAGCAGAAATACCATCACACACACTGGAGATTGCAGTTACCTCTAGATGACGAGTCCTAAACGAGAGGGAACGTACTTCCGGGATTCCACTGATAGTCCCTATACACCAAATAACATGACAGATATGAGTCTGGAGTTTGTAACAAAGTAAATTAACTAATATTTATTGTTAAATTTGACTCATTGAATCCAGCGTCCTTTGTTTTATCTCTTTGTTCGGCAGGTAAATATTTTAGTCCAATGAACTGGTCCACTAAAAAGTATTAATTAGATTTCATTCGCAACAGTAGTATATATTTTGTTGTACTTTATTCAGGTTGTGTCCAAAAATATCGATCGTGAATGCATCTTGCAATTAAAGAATCTAATTTATTTATTCCTCCTTTGTTATCCAGCTTACTCTTCTAGATGGTCCGGAAAGATCAGACGTGATGAAGTTATCCGAATCAGGTGCCACTTCAGAATCAAAGGAAGTTACAAAACTTGCTGGTTCGACATCTTCGTTGTCTGTAGGATTGAAAACTCCTGAGACAGTTAAAGGTATTGAATGTTTTATTTTCTGCCTGTTCGTCATTTATCTACTTCGTTTTGAATCTTATCACTAATATGTATAAAAGTAATGTAATGTAGCATTTTAACCCCAAGGGAGCACATAGTGTTATTTACATCAATAACATTATTTGTCAGCTGAAGTGATTTGTATGCTTACTTCATTTGTATTGCCTGATAAAGGAGTAAGAAGTTTTGCTACACTCAATTCATTACCCATTTATAGATGGTGATACTAAACAGAAAACTGTCTGTTGTATGGAAATTAATGTCATAGCTGAGATGCTCATGCCTCCCATCTGAACATTCTATAAGATGCTATTAACCACGTTAGCTCACAGGTTGCGAAACAAGTCAATCAACTAAGGTAGAGACACAGGCACATCGTGATAACAATTTCATCGTATTTTATTATCAGTCATTTATAACTTGGATAAACATTTCACTTTTTTTCTTCAGTGTTATCGGCTTTACTCTAATCGCAGAACTGTCAACTGACATTGTGCTCATTACTTTTCAGGAGCTATTGTGGTAACTATCTCCATACTTGTTGTTCATGTATTTTGAGAAGTCATTTTATATACTTCAAGGTAGTATTTAGGCATCTACTGAATGAGTTCATCAGTCCAGTTGTTAGCGCCAGATGTCCGGATTCGCCCTTTCAACCAGGCAGCTTAAAGGTAGTAAACATGAATTACGTAATCAAAGGCTATAAACGCGTAAGCACATGAGACGACTTCTAGAGGAAGATTGAAGTCTACCCACCGTCGACCGTACCAGGTCGTTAATTGTAGCCGTATACCAAACTGAAGCTGATCAATTCGTGTCAGATTTATCGGCAGGGAATGATGTAAATAAGCTAATACTGTCAGTGCGTGACATTACTCAAAACTCATTTTTCAATTCTGAGGATAAAGATTAACTGATTGGTAAAGAAGAATATGTAAAAATATAAAAGGTCACCCTGTCCCTTTATAGAATAATTTTATTTGGGGAGAAAAACAGTGATGCAACATTTTTTACTGATGACGTTTCGACAACAATTTATTGCTTACAACTATATCAAGGCACTCACATAACTTTTAAACTTCGTTTATGTAATTCTATTATTTCTTATCCATATCTCCAGTATACCAGCGTTACGTTATTCCTACTCATGTGTTACCTATAGATTAAATGAAGAAAAATTCAATGCTCGATTTCTCTCTCCACCTATTTATATTACTTTTTAGAACTGTAGCTCTCTCCCCATTGTATTGTGTGATTTTCATTTTTGTGAAGTCCATCATTTCACACTAAGCCAAATTCGTATGCTCCAATAATCTGACCAAACAACTGGTCTTATAGTTGTAGTTGATCTCACAGTCACTGCAGGTCATTATATTGATTAAATAGTTTTGTCTAATAGGGTCCCTTAATCTCTGAGTTACTTTGTAGGTTTAAATTCCACCCTAATTCCTGCCTTGTTATGAATCCTACGTCGAGTTATTTTATCGAATGAAATGATCCCATGATATGGAATTATACTCTGTTCCTACATCAAGGGCAACTGCGTTTTCTTGTCTAGAAATTCGCCAACATTTTTCTCTTACTTAAGGAGATAAATTACTAGACATTGCGTTCCTAGTTACTTATTGCATTCTACGTTGTTATCTCTCTTTCTCTTTCTTGTGGAAAATACCCGGTGAAGTATCAGTCGGTGTTGAAGGCGGTTCAACTCTCTTACAGTTTAAAAATCTTGAACAACAAAATGAACGAATGAAAGGAGCACTGGTCAAGCTACGTGATTTGGTTAATCAAGATAAATCGGAAATTTCAGCTTTAACTAAACAGGTAAATTCCTGCTTAATAATTTTTATGTATGATGCAGTGAGCAAAGAAAGAAACTCGATGAAGGTAAAGTTGTAATTTTGATGTTCTTGCGTTCTTTGAGCTGGCTGATTTTAAAACTGCGAAACTTTCATGTTCCTTCCGAACAACATCTTCAGTACAAGCTTTTTATCAAAGCGCATCGGGTGCAGGGTTCTAGTCTGAGTGGAACACCAGCATACGTACGTCCAGATGATGAATCTCAAATAGGACGAAGTGCTCATCCTACATTCCTCTGCTAGTCACTGTTATCATAGTAAAGGTTTTTCTAACTTATGAGATAAGTAGTGAATGCACTCAACTTACCAATTCAATATTTCTAAACTTATTAATATTCTGTACACCAATCAAGTCTACTTTTAAGAACACTAAACAGGCTACCAATAGTTATAAATATTAATGGAGCTGTATAGCTGAGTATTGTGAATTCTTCGCATATTGGCTTCAACTGTGTTTTGAATTTCGTTTATTCTTCCAACTCTTCTTTTAACATCAACTCACTCATAGACAATATCAAAGTTTACAGTTAAGTCTGAGATAACAGTTTGTCTGAGTGGGAAAATAAAGCCTAAAAGTGAATGGTCGAGCAAATGGAAGTGATGAATGATGTGATAAGAGTTATTTACCTCTGTTGTCTTACGATTTTTGTGAAGCTCGAAATGTTGTGGGGACAGTCCAAATCTGTGACCTAAAGTCCAATTCGAAAATAAGCAAAGCAATGTCATGATGCATTTTATCTTAATTTTGGTAACTAAGTCAAATCTGTAAGCTATTTTTACCTGTACACATTCTGTATGGAATCAAGGCGTTTTAAACTCGTCACATGGTACCCCATATTCACCAAGCCTTCATTTTTGTGGCAAAATTTCTTCCACATAATAATGCTGTTAGTAGGACGCCCGTGTAAACTCTATGAAAATGTGTCTATTAGTAAGGTATTTCGAGAAGGTTAGATCAGCTGAGATTCTTTGGTTGTACTTGGTGCATTTAACCGCCATTTATCGCTGATTTATTGTTATTGTCTATTATATCTGTAACGGCCAGTTAGATCAGTTCACTCTTATTGCTTTCTTTAAACTAGACGACTAATGGTAGTAGTAAGGTTTTCACCATCACAATGAACTATACAGTCAGAAAATAGAAGTTAATTGGTGGATGGTGACTAGCAATAGAATCCAGGATGCGCATTTCGGCCTATTTGGGACTCGTCAATTGGATCTAGCTGTATTCCGCAGTGAGTGATGATGTCCCCACTGAGGCTCGGACGCAGTGCCCATAGCTTCAAACGCCAAAGCGTTATCCACTAGACCACTTGGGCCAAGAGGGCCACCTCTTGTGCAATGGGTCATAATAATTATTTAATTCAACTGGAACTGCCCCATATGTGTGCAAAGTTCTATGTTGAGATCAGTAAGTTAGTCAGCTTTATCTGTATATTCATTTATACTAATTCAGCTCACTTCTATGCTATTTTGTAATATTAAATAGCTTGAAACAGACATCACAGTCACTGACGTCTGATATCGTATTGAGATTGTGGGAATTTCGTTGTAGGGATTTGGATTAATTTTACTGCATATTTCGTCTCAATCCAATATCAGTTAAAGAAATTATCAAAAACCATAGAACACTAGACAGTGGTTTTGTCCCAACTTGTGGTTCTTCAGCAGCATGCTGAATAGTCAACGGAATCAGCCTTGTGACATGAAGGTCCTGAATTCGACCTCCGTTGGGGACGTGAGTGCGTATTGCTGAATAGTTCTAATCAAGTACGAAACAGTTGTCTGGAGCTCCTTGATTTTGAATATTTCCCTAACTGATGTTGGTTCACGACGAAATCTACACTATCACATTGTATTTACCTACTTTTTATGAGAATTTGAAATACCAAACTTTAACCTGAATATTTAATTTTGTTTATTTGTATTTTAAAGATTACATCTTTAGAATCAGAAGTTAGTCAACTTCAAACAGAAAAAGAACGATTAACAAAAAATTTAAAAGATAGTGTTGAACAAATTATTGAATTAAAAGAACAAGTGGATGCTTACCTCGGCATTGATACAATGGTCAGTCAGTTGACACAACGTAATTTAGAACTGGAAGAAACGCTTGAGAAAATTAAAGAAGAAAGAAATGATCTGGTATGTATACACATGTTGATGTTGATATGCTTAATAAATCCTTCATATGTATCCCTGCAGATGTTATGATTCCCAAATCTAATAGTATAAATAATGACTGCTTCTCGTGTTTTAACACGAACGATGTCCTTAATTGTCTTCAATCTCTCAAACCTACCCAGTCCCTTGGTCCTGATGGAGTTCCTGCTGTTATCCTTAAGAAGTGTGCTGACATCTTATGTTACCCATTAACCGACATTTTCAATGAATCCTTTTCCCAAAGTATTATTCCGGACTCATGGAAAAATGTCTAGGTTGTTCCAGTACCTAAATCAACAAGTGGACCTACTGTTAAGTTTCGACCGATTGCTATTACCTCACCTTTTTTAAAAGTTATGGAAAGACTTATTTTACTTAATCTTGAACCCTCTTTAAAGCCTTTTAATGACCCCAACCAGTTTGCCTATAAACATAGTAGGAGTACCTTAGATGCCGCTGTTGTTCTACATCATAATATAGTCTCTAGTTTAGATAGAGGAGCCAAATATGTTCGGTGTGCCTCCCTTGATTACACATCTGTATTTGACTCTGTTCCTAGGTCTCTTGCTAAGTAGAAAACGGGCTTGAGTATAAACTGCAACTCAGAGATGTAATTGGGTAATTAAAATAAAATAAAATAGAGTAAATGAGAGAAATTCTGATGGAAAGAAAATCGGGTAGCCTAGTTATTTAAGCAGACCATTATTGTTTGCTCTGATTTATTCTTAATATTGGTGCTCTACAATCTTTTATTTACACGGTTTGCGGAAAACTGTAAATAAATCGTTGTTAATGTAACAGGATATTATGAAACATCTTTAATTTCTAGTGTAAATGTAGTTCACACTTTTTTTTGTCTCACTTTACCCACTTACCTAACTACCGTTCATTCGTTAGTTAAACTACTATGGAATGGGAATTAGTTGTAGCATTTCTACACTCAATAATGACGAAAGTTTCCTGCAAGCGATGTGACTCCTTCATATTTCTAATTAATTAACTCTAACTAAACGGTCGGTTAGGAGCGGACAGGTGGTGTTCAATCCATGACGTGTTGTCATGGGATAGAGAATAGTTGTCATTAGTTTAGCATCTCTTGTTGCACCGCTACCCCGAATGACAGTCCAAATCACTGACTTGAGTTGTTATCAAATATGGCTGAGAATCGTAATCTGAGAGTAGCATGCGGTGATAAGTCCCCTGAATAAGTATGCTTGCGAGTTTGCATAATTCTGTTCCCCAGCTACTCCATTTCTCTTCCTTATACTGTGTCTTATTGTTTTTGTTTTGTGTGGCACATCTCGTGTTGCCCATATTGTAGCAAGTTGCTGCTGAAATAATAACAAGAATGAGGATGGATTTCCCGCCGATGAAATTAGTTGATGGTCGCGCTAAAAACACGAATTGGTAGAAGTTAGAATTCATGGGCCAGTGGCTGAATGGAATACGAGCTTGCCTTGTAACCGGAAGGCCCTGGGATCGAACCCCAGTCCGTGCATACTTTCTCTCGGAAATTAGTCAGTGGTCCTCTTCAAACGGTCCTAAGCTGAATCCGTCTAAATATCAGGTAGTAAATTTCACTTTCAGACGAAAACGTGACCTACAACAACTAGCTAGCTCACATGGTCCCACTATCATTGATGGCATAGAGATTGAAACTACCTCTAATGTCAAATACCTTGGACTGAGGATTTCCTCCGATCTTTCCTGGTCCTCTCACATCTTGCTAGTTACTAGAAAGATGTTTCGCTTGACGTTCTACGTTAGGAAGTTAAGGCAGTCTGGTATAAAGCAGTCTTTGCTTTCTCAGTTTGTCAACTCTTGTATTCTAACGATCCCTCTTTACTGCTCCCCATTAATCTTTCCTGGATTACTTAAGAAAGATTTTGCTTTGCTGCGTAGGGCACTAAAAGCTGTTAGTAGGGGAAGTGGGGTTTCGTTAAACCTGACTTAGTTTTCGTGCTTATTGGCACTCACCAGCCACAGCAAGGTGTACCTGTAATCTTGAAGTAAGTCATATCCCTTGTGAGATTTGAACAAACATCACCCAGTGTGCTGTAGTCAGAGACTTTATCATTGAGGTATCCGGGCTCGCGACTTACCTCCTGTAGAACTGTATTGGTCGGTCACGAATCGGAATACCTCAGTGGTAACGTCTTTAATTGCAGCACACCGGGTGACGCGGGTTCGAATCTCACAAGGGATATGACTTACTTCAAGATAACAGGTACACCTTGCTGTGACTGGTGAGTGCCAATAAGCACGAAACCTAGGTCAGGTAGAGCTTCCTTCCGATTGCCGCCTCCAACCATCTAATATCAACAATTCACAGTGACTATTTCACTATATGTAGTGTAATGGCTAACTGGATAGTGCAATTAACGTCTGTTTTTCGGCTCTGTGATACGTGATTTGATGATACATGTGCATACTTAGTAAGTCTAGAAGATAACGAATTAAAGATGCTGGATGGTTGGTTGGAGGGTAGCTAAAAGGAATTCTCTTAGACGTGCCTTTCGTACTTACTCATACTCCTCAGTGAGGTATATTCGCAACCTTACTTCAGGTATTTGCTGCCGGTTCACTACCCAGTGCAGTACTGCAATTGGAGACGTTACATTCGCTAAGCTATGCTGAACACGGCCATTATCATCGAATAAGGTGTAATCTCTACCTATTACTAGCTGATATTTTGAGATATCACTGAACTACGTTTTTCTGCTATAGTTCTATTAACATTATTGTATACGCTGTAGTCAACCCAGTAATTATTATTATTATTTCCTTTAATTCCTATAGGAACATAGGGCTTCAGCCGTGCGTCTCCGTTGCGTTCGGTTCTCTGCTAGAGCCTTCACCTGGCTCCATGTCTGCCCACACACTTTCATCTCCTCTTCACATGACCTCCAAGTCACCCTTCGACGACCAAATCGCCGCTTCTCTTTTGGGTTCCACTGGAACGATGGCCTGTCTAGTGATGTCACCTGATGGTTTCCTCAGAGTATGACCAATCCATCTCCATTTCTTCCTGCTTATTTGTTTCACAATCTGTTCTTGGTTGGTTCGCTCCCAGAGATCTCTGTTGCTGATCTTTTCTGGCCATCTGGTCTTGAGTAGTATTGAGCGAAGACAACTGTTAATGAAGGTCTGTAGTTTGTTTGAGATGCTCTTTATGACGCGCAGTGCAAGTCTCTGATCCATATGGTAAGTAGCACTGACTTCACATTGGAGTTGAAAATCCGGATCTTATTTTTGATGCTGAGTGCTGTTGACCTCCACACAGACTTGAGAGTAGTGTGAGCTTTTCTTGCTTTCCCGATCCTTGCTTTGATATCCTCGCCAGTTCCGCCTGTAGTTGAGATGATGCTTCCTAGTTAGGTAGGTAAAAGAGGTTGTTTCTTTCAGGTTCCTCCCATTTATGCTGATCGTTGTCTGTTGTTGTTGTTCTTGTCCAGGAATCTTCATTACCTCTGTTTTCTCTATGTCCACCTGAAGTTCTATCTTCTCTGGATTCTTTTTCTGCCAATTTGTTGCTTTTCACTTGCATATCTTCCAGTTTGTGGGAAATCAGACATATATCATCGGTGAAGTCCAGATCCTTCAAGTTTTTCTTTTGTGTGAGTCCATTTTATGCCTGTTTCCTCATTGCCCGCTGTTTGACGCATTATCCAATCTACTGCAATCAGGAAAATCATTGGCGATAGTAGGCAGCCTTGTTTTACTCCTGTCCTCACTTCGAAGGATTCTATATTTAAATCTTTTTCCATAAAAGGTGATCTACTTGTGCAACCGAATGCCACAGGTCCTGGCGACTTCGACTGTTTTATACCACTTGCGTTGAAACTGGCATAGGTTTTTAGTTTTTTTTGTTGCATGTTGAAATTTTTAGAGGTAACGAACTTTTCTGATGCTTAATAGACGGTGGTTGATGAATATGACAAACTGTGAACAGCAGTTTGGAGTATTTCTCTTTTTATAACTTTTTGTAAAAGACTTACAATACCAAATTTTATCAATGTGTCTGATGTTATTATTTGTATTCCCCATTATTTATTGATTATATATTTTTGATTTATTGTATTCCTTTACGTTCCGATGGGGGAACATAGAACTTCAGGCTTCTGGAGCTTTGAAGTCTCAGTAGCAGTGGTGTTTTTAACGGGTTGGGGTTGCTGGTCAACCTTGCCCTCTCAACCTTCCCTCCTTGTCGGGCTTACAGCCGGGTTCGAGGGTGGGGTAAATGTGTGGGCTGTCTGGGAATCGAAGCCCGGACCATGTGGGAATGATTGGCAAGCATTGTATTGCTGAACCACCGAGGCATGACCACTGATTGATTATATGAGACTGAAATCCTCAATGACTATCGATGGACGCTCCAACAGAATCTGAAGATTAACACGGTGAACCAGAGTTTGCTATCACTTTGCTCTAGAAGCCGACATGTCAACAGAGACTCAGCACTCTGATCCAGTGTCACCAATCAACACGGGAAATGCAACAACTAAGTTAAACAACAAATAACAGCTAATAACTGCTGCCCCTCCCCATACAGTGGCCTAATGAAAAACTATGTGTAGTGCTTGAAACGTTGGATGCTAAGTTCGAGTCTCAGCGGGGGAGAGAGGGGAAAGTGTTATGATTCACTGCGAATACAGTCACATTATCCTGCTGATGAGCTCCGAATCAGACGAAAGGTGCATTTTAGTTCCTACTGCAAGCCATTTACCACCATCTCATGTTGCTTTACACTAATGGGATGATTGGCAATTCTAATTGTTTATTGCTTTCTTTTTGTTCATCGACAGCAAGTAATAGATGGAGAAAAGTCTGGTGTGTTTTGTAGACAGACAAACACTAGTAATATAAATGATTCTGTATTCCTTAGTCCATCGAATAACAACAGTATGAACAATATTCGCCGTGGTATCGATGATGCTAACAATAAAACAACTGGAACAATGAATAGAACTCCGAGTGGAGATATGGGTGGATTGAAGCCGCCATCATTAAATGCTGGAATGGATTCTGGCAATAATATGCTTACAGACAAACCAGTAGGTAGTAGCATTGGCAGACATAATTCAATGCGATCGTTGGCTGCATCTAATCGACCAACAAGTCTATCAAGAACAGCAAGTGTAAGTTGACCAACTCTCATTTCATGTCCTTTTCGCTTTCCACTCCCCACAATCTGCTTAGTTATTATTTTTATTTCCCTCCAAAGTTTAAGGATTTCGTTTACTATAAATGCACACAGTGATTTTAATGAGGGAAGGTCAAAAAGGCCATAGCTTTCGTCAGTGTCCGCGACTATGAATCTGTAACCGGATAAGACTTGGTAAGGGACCTTTTTGTTAGTGAGACTCACCGTATTGATACGTTTTTAGCTATATTTATGGTCGACTAGATCAACGGATAATAAACTATTCTGATTGGTTGTTAGTTTTCTGAAGGTCAAACTTTTGGGACGTGAAGTTGTCTACTGACAGTAGGTTGTTCTGATTAGTTGTTGATTTTTTGGGAGTTAAATCTTGAGGTTGTTTTCTGACCACAACGTAGGCGAATTGCAGATTTGAGAAATAAACACTTCTATTTCTGTAGCTATTGTTTCAAAATGTTGTTTTTCAATTTAGGTTACTTCCTATCAATCTGCATCTATATACTATTGATAAATTTTGCTAGTAGTACATGGCACAATATAATAACATAGTTAAGTGGAGGGAGAGTTTAATCACCGAATCTTTGCTGATCGAATCATCCGATATATTGGATTATTTTCTACCACGATACCCAAACTCTACTCTTACACTAAGCCTGAATAATTGTTGCAGTTATTGAATGTGCCAAAAATAGCAGTTTCTTCTATAGCCTGTTATGGAATTGAGTGAAAGTGCATAGTATCTACCAGTCAACGAGGTATGAGGATGTAAGTGAAGTGCGTATCTAGGCATGTTTCTATGAGAAATTTTTAGTAGTATTAGTAGGAGTAATCGTGAGCAGAGTAATATAATAAACTTTGTGATCAATTTTGGTCACGGATTGATATCAGTTAGAGGACCATTAAAGAACCTGGGAGTACTGGACTGGTATCTCATCCTAGTTCTGGACTCTTCAACAGTACTCACCCATGGGGTTTCGAACCTAGGACCTTCTGGTTACAAGGTGAGGTTGTAGGCCATAAAGCCACTGGGACACCTGCCTGATCCGATGGTCAGTCCATGAATTCCATCTTCTGCTAATTGACGATGTTTATAACGCAACCGCCAGTCAATGTCATGGTCGAGTAACTGTTCTCCTCCCTGACTTGGTGGACTCCGCTGGTTGCGACCTCTCACTAGAACTCCACGTAACTTTCTGTATACAGGCAGTTGCTAGTTAGCATTAGATTAACTATCAAGGTGTTGGTTTGCGGGGATTTGACTGGTTACAGGATTTCATCATGAGCTGACATCGGTTAGAGAACCACTGGAGAACCTGGGTGGACTGGACAGCTGTTTCATTTTCGTTTGGGACTCATCATCAGCACACACATGAACAAGTGAAGCTTAGGAAGAAATAAGCATTCTAAGCACTGCATATCAGCAATTCCTTTTAGAATGAAACTCAGCGATTGTATACAGACCGAAATTGTCGGTGACTACTTGAGTTAACATTTTACCTCGTTCAGATTATACTTAACTGATATAATTGTTTACAAACCCCTTTATTCCTTAATTTGTTTTTTTTCATTACTGTAGGTTCGACGGGACAGGGATTCTGGATTAATATCCAAAGCACTCGGCTACATGTTTGGCTGGTCATAAATTGGAAACCAATTTTTGGGTATTTACCAGTTTCGATTATTGGTAATACCGGATATGTAGTTATGGTTTTCTGAGATTCATCTTATCCTATGCCATATTGTAAAATAAAAGTATAACGTTATGATCACAAAACATTACACATTTTTTTTGACCTACTCCCCTCTTTTAACGCGAAACGTGATACACGTATGCACTTATCTGTATTAGTGGGGCATAAGTGTGTGTAGACTTGCGGATTGTTGATTGTGAGGCTAACAAAACGTATAAATCATAGTTTAAAATTGACAACTGTGTAAACGCAGTCATGTTCTGGACTCCATGTGCTTATCTTCGTTTTAGATTAGAAGAGAGAGCCTTTTTCAAGTTGAGTTACACTTGCAGGATGGGTGTTAAGCGGTATAATATAGTGGGAGATATTTAAGTTATGTGAGTAGGAGAGTTAATCAATCAGTTTGTGAAGCTGCATCGATTGAAATGGCAGGGGCACATGTTACGCATGCACACCAAACCATTGCTCCTCCTCGTCGATTGATGTTAGTTGACGTCGGGTTGTGTTGGAAAGCGAATCGAAACATGGCAACAATGCATGCAGTTTTAGGCTATGCGTTTAATCCATGTAGGAAGGTGCAGAGATGCTAGTAACCACCAGTGGCTTGAAACTGTTGGTAACATTTTTTCTTTCTGTATCTGTATGTGTTTGCTCTATTTGTGTGTGTGTGTGTAGAGTGGCAACTTTGAAGTGTTACACTTTATTGCATGTTTGTGCGTTGAAAATTCATTCCAGATTAGCCTGTATGAGAGTAGAGAAGTGTCTGTTAATTATTTGAACCAGTACGTAATGGTTGCGGCCAAAGTGTCGTCAGTGTCATGCTTAAGAATTTTACTATTATTCTTTTTATTCCCTTTGGTTCCGAGTGGAATACAGGGCTTCAACAGCGCATCTCCACTTTGTCCTATTCTCTGCTATCCTCTTTAGGCAGGTCCACGAATCGTCCATAATCTCTCATCTCCTCCTCACAACACCAATCTCCTCCATGTCACCATTGACCACACTCCGAATCGTCGTTTCCCCCATTCTGATTCCACTGCAGCCATGACTTGGCATGCGATGTCATTCGACGGTCTCCTCAGTGTGTGTCCAGTCCATCTTCATTTTCTCCCACATATTCGTTGAGCAATCGATTTTTTTGATTGGTTTGTCCCCATAATTTCTCGTTGCTGATTCTTTCTCGCTGGCTATTTGATCTTTAATATGGATTCAGCGAAGGCAGCTGTTGTTGATAAATGTCTGCAGTTGGCTTTCGTGATCCGCTGGCCACGTTTCTGACCTATATAGAAGAAGTGACTGGCTTAAGATTGGTGTTGAAAATCCGAATCTTGCTCTTTATGCTGGCTGAGTGCGGAGGATGTCCAAACTGATTTCAGAGTGATGAAGGTTTGTCTTGGCTTTCCAATTCTGGCTGGCATTCACATCCTCACGCGTGCTTGCTACCTGTAACTGAAACAATGCTGCCGAGATAATTGAAGGAAGTAACCTCTTTCAAATTTCTCCCATTGATGATGACTGGTGCTATTTGTTCTTGATGTAAGTATAAAACTTGGGCACAGTAGTAGAGTATAACTCCATTATAGATAAGATTTTATTTTCATAAATCACACAGTGTTGTACAGTTATATTAACTGATGACTTATCGAGCACAAATTATTGCTCATAATCATATGTCTCCGACTTTGCTCTGATCTGTGGTTTTGTGGTTCAGTTTCTGAATGCCAAACTTGAGTTGTGGCCTGTCTCCATTTGTTTTGAGGGATTTCATCTTCACCTTGAAGGTTCCTAAAACTAGATGACGGTGTGAGCCCACATCTGCTCTCCTTGTCGACTTTGTATCCAGAAGACTGCGTCTTCACATCCTTGAACAGTGTTGAGATGAAATCTATCTGGTTTGTGGTATTTCCTTCAGGCGAAATCCATGTTGCTGTGAGTATATCCTTGTGTTTGTACACACTGCCTCCGATCACCAGATCATTGAAAGCGCAGAATTCTGCGGATAATTCTCCGTTCTCATTCATTTCTCCCAGAGACTCTCGATCGATGATGAGTTCTCTTCCTATATAATTTGCTCCCATTTCGGCTAGCATTCATATCGCCTGTGAGGATTTTTGTGCCAGCTTTCGGAATGTTGTCCATTACTGTTTGTAGTTGTCTGTAAAACTCTTCCTTCTTGTCTCGTTCCGCATTGTTTGTAGCACTGTCCGTAGCATTGGATAATTGTGACCTTCCTTTTGATTTGAATCTTGTTGTCATGATCTTGCTGGAGGAGATTGGTTCTTACTGTATTAGGGCTTTGGCTGCCACTGGTTACATCATGATAGCTATTGACTGACTCAGTGTGCTCGTAGTCGTCGTCTGGATGACAGATCGGAGTAGATTATTGACTCTCCAGTTGACAATTTTGACAATCCACATCCATTTCATCTGCTCTCGCAAATTCCCAGCACTTCTATACCTTATCTCCTCATTTCTTTGGCTAACTCGGCAGCCTTTCCAGCTTTGTACATTGTACGAACACTCCACACTCACATTGTTGTTCTTGACATTATTGGAAGACGACACATCAACTGACTGGCTTCCCGAAGGCTTTCACCAGCCTGCTATGTCATTTCGCCTCTCTAATTCCAGAGAGAATTAAGTCTGATTTGTTATATTTTCTGTATTTTTCCTGTGCACTGAAGTTTGTGTAGCAGATTGATTGTTTTGGTGGTGTAGGATCGCTACCCCCCACGTCCGACCTTTACTCTTCACGCGAGTTTGGGACCGGCTAGAAAGCTAGCGAGCTCGTAAACGAGGTGAGGTTTTATAAACTGGAAGGTCAAAAATATTCTGTTTATGAAGAATTTAGACGTTTTGAATAACAGTCTATCAGAAAATATGGAGAACCAGTTGTCTGCATCTTCGACAATCATACGTCGTTCTGTAATCAAAGACTGAAACTGGTTGTTCAACTAAACAGTGTACGAGACTGTGGACGGCTATGGTGGCATTGTACTGATTACATCTACATTGTAAACAAGACTAGTGACGCAATCGGTCATCATCCCGTGTCAACTCCAGGCAGTTATTGTCAGTATTCTATGATAAGTCAAAATATAATGTGACTTGACACAAAAAGGCACCAGTTTATCAGGATATCATCACCAGTCGTCCAGAAAATTAGACATCATTTACTGATCGACTGACAAAAGCCGTTAGGTCGCGGATAGTACGCGACCTAATGGTTGTGTGCAAGGTTTGAAGAAGGCTGTGTGTTATTTGCACGCGCCTCACCCTGATAATGTTTTATTCTCAGCACGAATACAGAGGGCTAGTTTCGCATATGCCAGTTTACGCCGTCTCTGGCGTAGACGCGATATCCGACTATCGACCAAGGGGCGTGTGTACTGCTCAACAGTCCGCTCCGTCCTCCTTTATGGCTGTGAGACCTGGCCATTGAGCGCAGAAGGCTTGAAAAGATTAGCTGTCTTTGATCATAGGTGTCTGCGTCCTATCTCCCGCGTGAAGTGGTATGATAAGGTGAGCAATATTGAGGTTAGGAGTCGACTGCTAGGTAAGGAGGGGAAGTCAGTCGACGAGACTGTGAATTTACATCGACTGAGATGGTTTGGACATGTGCTACGTATGCCTAGTCATCGCTTTCCTCGACGGGCCATGTTAGCTGATATAGGGTCAGGCTGGTAAAGGGCTAGCCGTGGTCAAACGAAAACATGGCACCAGTCAATGAAATCTACAACAGTTAGTCTAAGACACGTAGGAAGGTGTAGACTTCCTGGTTGAGGTCCTCGGGAAGGTAAAAACCAATATATATATATATATATATATATATATATATATATATGTAGGTGCTTATATCCACAACCAATCAGGTGACTTGGTTTCTTCACATATCTATGAGAAATATACATGTTATAAGAATAAAACTTGGGCACTGTGGTAGAGTGTAATTCCATTATGGGTAAATTTTTATTTTGATAGAGTCTCACAGTGTTATACAGTAAATAATAGCAAAATAGCAAATTATAAGTAGTCGCTCCATTGTACTATGGTTAAAGTTTAAGTATGATTAGGTGGACTGACACACGTGTCTGAGTAACGTTCTACGTTGATTCGTCATTCATTTATTAGATATGATTTATAATTAATAGATGTATAAGTTATGTATAGATACACTGTTGTCAAGCAAATGGGTCATACCCTCAAATCCTATTCTATACACGTCTTATGACTTATGGGCATTATTGCTAGAAGTCATATGATAGATGTAGCTGATTGGCCAGTTGACATCGCTGCTGAGATGATGCACTTCCTTCTCTACCATTTGTACTGTTTTTGTGTGACTGAGAAAACTATGAAAATCCAAAGTATAAGTACTACTGCCTCAAATTATAAGCAATGGAACTCAGTATGTCAGGGTTCAATTCCCGGCCGACACACTCCTAAACCTCGCCTAACCAAGTAGTAAACCTGGGAAAGAGACGTTTGGCCATGAGGCTAGCAACCATATTTCTCGAAAGAAAACAAAACATCACTGCTAGTGAAACTTCAAAGTTTGAAGTCCTATATTCTACTTAGAACTGAAGGAGAGAAAACGAATTTTTTTAAGCTGGTTATAAGACGACAACATTCTCACTAGCATGGACCAACATAAAGAAATAAAATGAATGATTGTAAAAGAGATACTGTAGGAACATTTAGAATACATGAAAACCTGTTTTTTCTCAGTCCACTGCCTTCCGACTTGAATATAGGACTTAAGGCTTCAAGTTTTGAAGACTCAGTAACCATTGTGCTGCTTCTTATGGGGTGGATTTGTTAGCCGTACACCCAATCTTCAGTCTTTTGCGGACTTACTCTGAACTGGTAAATTAGTCAATTTTTATTAGTACATCGACCGGGAATCGAACCCCAAACTAGGTGCTTAGTTAGCGAGCATTTTACCACTGAATCACTGATGCACCCTTTTTGTCACACATTTAAATAAATTAGTTTGCTCAGTGTTCATTGTTCCCTAAATGGAAGTCAGAATGTGGTGACAGTCGTCTGCAAGCCAAAATTATAGACAGCAGTCCACGTCAATGTT